ATTGCAGAATGATGTAATACATTTGAACCCTTCCCAGATTAATGGATGGCATAATCTGCTTCTCGAAGATCATAACTGATGTTTTTGTCCTTGGTGATGTCCAGACCATCAAACTTAAAAAACTCATGCTTTTTAGAAGGAGTTGATGCTTGAGGATGAGCGGTAAGTTTACACAATTCAATTCAAAAATACTTTATTGATTCCAGAGAGAAATTAGATGCAACTCATTTAACTAAGGAGTTATTGTAGATGGTGACGTCTGTGGGCAGGAAGGATCTTCTAGCAGTCTGTATCACAACAAAACTGAAGAAGCCTCCGACTGAAGACACTCTGTTGTTCTATGACAGTCTGATGAAGAGGATGGTCAGGGTTGTCCACAATGTTCTTGATTTGATGTAAAATCCTTCTTTGCTCCATCATCTCCAGAGATTCCACAGTCGTCCCCAGAACAGAACCAGCCTTCTTTATCAGGTTGTTTAGCCTTTTTAGGTCCCCGGCTCTGATGCTGCTGCCCCAACAGATGATGGCAGAAGAGATGACGCTCTCAACAACAGACTTGTAGAAGATCTGCAGCATCTTGCTGCAGACATTGAAGGATCTCAGCTTCCTTAAGAAGTCCAGTCTGCTCTGTCCTTTCTTGTAGACTGCTTCACTGTTGAGCCTCCAGTCCAGGCTGTTGTCCAGATGAACACCRAGGTATTTATATTCCTCAACCACCATATTGATCACACCATATATGTGATCGATCAACAAGATCCAGGTACAATTTGCCCTTTTAATTCCCACAGGATAAATGCAGATTTTAACTTCTCTTTCTGCATTTTTACTCTGCGTATCATGATAACGTGACACGATGTAAATTCTAATTTTAATGGCTGGCGTAGTGTTTGAACAGCAGTATATAGCTGTGATAAGAATCTACAAAGACAAGCCTCAGTCTGCTTTAATCTGCAAAAACACATGAAAAATGTCAGAGCTTGCAGACTGGGGTTTTTATGGTTTGGCAATGTCGATGAAATTACACAAATCTTTTAGGGTTTATTTTACATTGTTTGGGGGCGTGAGAATCAGTGGGATTAAGAGTTTACCAAGAATCTCCACCATTTCTGTAGAATACAAAAACGGTTTACAGACTTACAGAAGAGTAAATGTAATAACATCAATTTTAGACTCAGGTTGTTTAGTTTAATCCAGAGATGTCCAAAGTGTGGCCCCTGACTTCAGTTCAAAAATTATGCTAATTTGTTTACAAATTTGTACCCCCGGCACAGGTGTTCGATGTAGATAGAGACTTTACATTTATTATTAGGGCAAATATATCACAAATTAACATCTTACAAAAAAAAATTGGCAACAATAGCAATTGTTTGTCTTTAAATAATCAGGCTCTTAGCTTTTTCCACATCTATCTAAAGCTGATTTTACTCCAAACTGCTTTTAACTAATTTATTGAATTCATCTGAATACAGTGAACATTTCAACAATAATGACCTAAATCCTGATTTTATTGATCAGAATTGACTAAATTGGGGTATTTTTCCCCAATTGAAACCTAAAGAATTGCTAAATTTCTTTCAGAAATGGGAACCTGCAAAACACTTTTAAAATTCTGGATCTAGATTAATTTACGCATCCATTTCCAGCAATAAATCTGACTACTTTAAATTATTCAATGCTTAGTTTATTGTTGAGCAGGTAAAGGAAAAATGTTTTTGGCCCTCAAGTCCTTCTGACTTTATGATTTTGGCCCATGTGACAAAATGTTTGGACACCCCTAAGTTTACTCCAATACACTCAGAAAACTAAATCATTTCAAGCATTTGGTTGAGTAAAACTACATTTATAACTCCTGATGTGGAAAAGCTGGAGGTTTAAAGTGTTTTTTGGCAAACATGCAAAGAACTGCTTTGTGCACAAAGGTCAGAGATCACCTCAGCGTTTGAAGGAATGAGAACATCGCAGGCTGGAGGAGGCCGTTTCTGTTGTGGTGACGTAAAAAAAAAACAGAGAATCTGTTGGGATTTACTGGTGTCTGAAATGCTCGTATTTAATCGAAGAGCTATTTAAATTATCACCGTTGTGCTCCACAGTGGAGAGGAGGAATGTTTTTACATCTTCATCTCAAGTTCAGGAGGTGTCTCTCTCCTGGAGCACAGAGATGATGATGTCAAAACTCTGCATGTTAGTCAAACCCTCTTTGAGGAAGTCAAACCCCTCCTTCCACCAACCCTGCAACGCTTCTGCAGCTCTGCTGACCCCGCAGGTCGAGACCCCGCTCGGTTTCAGGAGGAGGCAGGAAGGCCCAAGAGGCGGCAGTAGCTTCTGCAGTCAGAGCTGCTCATTTATGAGCTCCTAACTGCTGGGTTAAATCAACCCCTGCATGAGTGTGTATGTTTCACACTGGCCCACTGAACTCTTTCATTTCATGCCGTCACGGCACCTCGAGCGTGGACAAATAAGACTCCAAGTGGGCGAACACCTGAGAGCACAGAGTCCTTGCAGGCTCAACGCAGCAAGAGATTTTGATTGAAGTAGCAGAAAGTGTTTTTAAGCACAAGACAATCGTTTTATTTTATATTAAAATTACATCAGATCTACATGTAAAGGAGACACCTGTGTCACATAACTGTTATGATGGCAAGATAAAAAACAGATTTATCTGAATCCAGGGTGGGAAAAAAAAGACTAAATGAAGCACTGGGAGGTGTGTTATGTGTTTTCACAGCTGTTTTTATTAAAAAGGAAGCTGGCAGATAAGAAGCAGCAAAACGGAGAAGAGGGGATTTTATAGCACTAAAACCGTGACAGAAAACAGCACAAATCACAGCTCTTCTGTTGGTTTGGGCAGGCAGGAGTTTTCTTTTCATAATGTGTGACATCTATCTGCATTTAAACAGAAGAAAGAAGCTGCAAAGACTGTAAAAAATATCATTTTTAAAAAGGACTACATGATTAATTTGTGCTTCAGTTCCAAAAGAAATACATTTTACTACAATATTTGTTAGAGAACAAACATACATTGTTGGTGAGTGTTTTAAGACAGTGTGTTTTTGGATCTTGTTTTCTATTGAGTTTCATTAAGATTTTTTATTGCATCAACTTCCCCGTTGTTAGTGTTTTATTCTCAAATGAAAGCAGAAATCACGTTTTGTTTTTTATAAAAGTGCAGCAGAGTTCATAAATCTGTCAGGGAATTTAGTGAACCTTATTATCAGCTAAATGAGGTAAAACTTGGAGCAGCTGGTTTGGTTTCAAACACTTTGGAGGTTTGTTTTACTGATGTTTTGGAGCGTTTTTGTTTTATTCATCCACAGGAGGCTTAACAGCTTGGTCTGGGAAAGCGGACATTTAAATTGCTTTTTAATGCTGTCCTCGAAGATTTAGATGAAGTTCTTCTTGTTCAAAAGGGGGAAAACTCAGTTTATAGCAGTTCTTTTAAAGCTCTTCTTTAATCAGACTAAAATGTTACTGTAAATATGAAGTGTTCATATTAAAAATGTAAAAAAAAATGTGGTGGAAACACGAAACTGTCTTTGACTCAGGACTATAGTAACTGTTACTTTTTTTTATAGTAAAAGCAGAACAGTCAGATATCAGAGTTAAGTGTCTCCATCTCAGGAGGAGGAGGAGGAGGCTTCAAACAGCCTTCTGGAGACGTCAGCGCAGCAGTTAGTGGTGTTTGGACCACGTCCCACTGAGAAACATGCCTGCACATCTGCTTTGAGTCGTGTCGACCACAGAAAGCGATTCATCCTGCAGAGGAAACCGTAAAAAGCCAGAGAGATTTAAGAAGCAGAGATTTCACCAGAACTCATTCCTGGACTCTCATTAAAACGCTGCAGATCACCTCTTTAGTCAAACTCCTGTTCTCACTTTACTCTCCTGTGAATTTTATTCACAAAACAGCCAACAGCTTTGAAGAAGCAGCAGATGTTTACATCAGTTGATTCAAAAAGCGGATTGTGCTAAGAAAGATAAGGATTAGTTACATTTTTCTTTTAAAGTATGGTCTTTAAAACGACCACGCGTTCAGCTGATGACAGATTACCATGTCAAGGTGATGCATTTGCACAATTCTTTATTTAATCTTTAAAAATAATTCCCTCAAACCAAATACAAACTTTGTAGGACTCTCAGCACCTCAGTGAGCTCACAATGAAACACTGACACCTACAGGTCAAACACTAAAACTACACCTCAAAGACTAATAATAAATAAATGCCTGGAAAGACGTTTATCGAACCGTTTATAGTTTGTAAATTTGCTTTTATACAGTTAAATGTTCTGATTAATAAAACCCTAAATAAATTAAAATTGTTGTAATAGTTTTTTAATAGATAAAAAAGCTTATTTTATCATTATTTTTACTGCTTTTCTTCCAATTCCCAATAATCCATTAACAAACAAGGGGCACAATGACCCTGATGGCAGGCTATAATGATTCTGCTTGAGTTTTTTTTTTTTTTTTTGTAGTGTTCACAAAATATTCCATGACTGGTTGAATTACTTTTGGAGTTGACTCATTTGAGATGGCTACCACCACTCAGATATGACAACCGATGCAGAAAATTGTGACCTCTGATAAATTATTGGTTTAGATATGCAAAGTTTGCTAAAAATTCTGTGAAACATATGCATAACATTTATTTGCATTTAAATTTTTGTTGGAAAATCATCTGGGGGCCCATCTCTTGATGCTTCATGACCCACAGAGGGGTCCTAACCCCAACTTTGAGAACCACTGATTAAATACAGTATACAACAGCTGCCACAGCTAAACAAAGTTAACAAAAAAATAAGAGTTTTACAGAAATTAGGCTTAAATCTGGTGTAGTTGTAGCAGAGACTGAACCCCAAATTCAGGAGCTCACGGATGGATTTGTTTTATTTTATGTTGTCAATAACTTGATTTTATATGAAACTTACAGAAAGTAATCATTGTATGTACATTTATAATTAATTGTATGAGTTCCTTTGAGAAACAATGAGTTAAGTGAAGCTTCCTTATGTAAAGATTTATTAATTTATAATACAAGCTTTTATGTAGACCACATTGCATTTTTTAGTTTTTACATTTATTCATACTGAGCTAAACTTCATAGCAGTGACACTGAATGACACAAACACAAACCAAAAATTAAAAACACTCAATGGAAGGAATCAAAGGGTCTCCATCTAGATCTGAAGAAGCCTCAGCCTGTCGATGCTCACAGTGCACCACCTTTTTTTAAAAAAAAAAAAAGCAGAAACAAAATATAAACACGTCACATGCCCTCATACAGTCTGTCACACACTCACCCTCACTAAAGTTCAACAAATACCTATACACAAGATAAAAATCGATATATTTAAAATTCCATTATTTGTGATATTGATGAATTCCACGATAAAAAGGCAAACAAGAAGTAACGACAGCAACCGAATGATGAGGAGGTAAACCACCACCCAGCTTTCTTCCCCCGCTCTTAATCCAACGGGGGGACAAATAAAATAAATCTTTGCCTCATTGTTATTATAATCCAGAGGTTTGTGGGAGGGTGGGGGGAGGGGGGTCTAATATCATCCACCCTGACGATTCTTCAGTCTTCACCTTCCTCACTTGCGATCTCGGCTCCCTTTACAAGGAAACATCAAAACGTGCAGAAAAAGTCCAAACAAACTCCCGATGGACGCCAAATCCTCCGATATCTTTATAAGTCTCAGTCGGTTCCATTTTTATCTGGACCCAAACTGAAAGAGGACCTTATTAAGTCTTTTTTTTATTCTTCCTTTCGTTGGTCCATTGACAAACACAGATGTGACAGAAGCTACCAGTGCTAACCCAAACAGAGCGCATCAGCGAGGCATTTTTACTGTTCATAACGAAAAGGGGACCATGAAGGAGGAGATCAAACTCAAACACTTCATCGTTAAAACTGGTTAAGTGCAGTGAGACCAGGGGAAATGTCTACGTGACTAGTAGGGATGGGTTAAAGCCCACAAATCCTTTATAGCACTTCAGTGTCCATGAAGAGTTCCTGTGTCTTTGACACCAAATATGCCAGCTTTTTAAAAACGTCTCCAAACAGCAAATAGATCTGCAACAGAGCGTAGGTATAAGATCTTCAAAAAATAAAATTTAAATTAAAAAAAAAAACAAAAGTTAATGCTGACAGAGTAAAAATTGGGGGTCAGGGAGTAAATAAATTGGCACAAAAAAGCCTCAGTTTGAACAGAAGTTTAACGGAAGCGTGCGACGGGTCCAAACAGACTTCCTGTCGTTTATTCCAGATCCACAGATGACCGGACAACCGACAGGAGAGCAGGGAGCTTTAGAGGTGTGTGTAATGCTTTGTTTATGTGATGTTAGTATAGTAGGGGGAGGGAGGTGTGTGTGTGTGTGTGTGGGGGGGGTCCTTTATGTTGTTTTACAAGAGGAGGCAGCAGTTGCTCTCTGTGGTTTTCTCTCTGTTCCGCTGACCTACAAGACAAAAAAGTGATGAGCTCACAAAAAGAAAAGCAGCCCACATAAAACAAAGAAGGGAAATGTGTGCTTGGTAGATTAGTTCTTTATTGTAACAATGCTTCTTGGTAATAAATCTTATATAGTATGTTAATTTCCCCTTTAAATGCTGCCACATTTGTAAGGAACATGCATTTGTGAGATGAGCAGTAGAGCTGAGTATGAGAGCTGCACACATGAAAATTTTGCCAACTCTTCTCTACAAACAGCTTATTTTTGCTGTTATTGACTCTTGTTTTAAGATTTGGTACTTCCGCTATAGGATTTATTGCCAAAAAGCATTGTTACAACAAATAAAAAACAATCTACTAAACACTAATTTCCTTACTTTTTGTGCTACATAAATAAACAAGACAATCTGTGTTGATGTGTGAGAAAAGTACACAGATATTAGTGTTTCTTTAGCAAACAAATTAAAGAAAATATAAGTGACACATGGTGTGGTTAAAGAAAAACTTTCACTTTATGGACTTAATATTTGAACATCTTTCTCACCATGAGAGTTTGGCTCTGGAAGAGTCTCTCTGGCGACCAAGTGCATGACGGTGGTTCGGCCCGGTGGCAGTTTCAGAGCTTTAAACATGAGATACACACTGTGACATTCACAACATTTCACCATAACATCACATGGTGGCTACTCTGCTGAAGATCATTTCTGCACAACTACAAAAATAAATGCGTCAAAATATTTCCACTGTCAGCGATTGATAATAGGTTTGATAAGAGAGTTGTTCCTTTCAACAGTTTTGCAGTATCTGTGCAGGATGACAGACACCAGCACATTTATACTGTTTTTCCAACTCTTGTAATTCTGCATAAAACCTGTCATATATTGTATTTTGATTTTTAGCATTGTTGGGTCATTGCAATGCTTAATAAATCAAGGTTTGTAAAATGAAGATTGTAGTCAGACCACTGTAATTTATGTAATTTTATGAACATCAAAATCTCATGTTTGTCAAACAAAAAGAAACAAGTAACCCATGGAGTCATAATGGCCACAGCTGAAACACAAAATAATAAAAATAATAAAGACAACTTCTAGTGATCCCTGCAACTAAAATAGAATCATAATCTTCTACATTTCTACCTCTACAGATATGTCTTTAGAAATTTTAAATTATTTTCCCTGTCAGCTGCTGTAGAGCTGGGAATTCCTGATGACATCATTCTATAGCAATAGAAATAGTTTTTCAACAGATAAAAAGGTCACAAAATGTGGTCAATCCAATGAAGTCGCCGGCCCTGACGCCCACACCTGGTTTAGATGACAGAAGCAAGTGAGGAGGAGAAAAACCTGGAAACAACTTCACATTCACGTTATTTTTCTAACTTTGTGCAGCACTTGTTCAAACTTTAGTAAATTGATTTCTCTAAGATTCTTCATAAAACCTTCATGACTGACTAGTTAATGAGGATATTTTAACATATTTAATCTATATTATAGGCTAATTTAAAGAAACACATTTTGTTCCATGTCTGTGATATATTAAAATGACAAAACTGACTTGATTAAAATGTTTTTGTAATGTTTCTTCCAGGGCAACAGACAGTTCTGTGTTATTAACTAGTCAGATATAATAATTACACTGACTCCAGCTGTTTGTCTTTAAAAGCTTAAAATGTCAACAACTTCCACAAGACTAAAAAAAAAAAAAGACTTTTTTTTTCCATGGATCCTTTTACTGTGACTCATTAGGTCAGACCCGGGCGGAGAGTTCAAAAGGTCAAAACACCTAATGAGCTTAAAATAAATCAGATGATCACATTCTTCTGCTTCTTAGGCTGCTCTGATTGGACTCAACGGGTCTTTTCTTAAACCGCCACTAGTTTAGGTCAAGGAAGGTTGCTCTGTTTATACGGCAACAGGTGAGTCAATTTAAACAAAAAAAAAAAAACTGTCTCCAGGCAAACATCGAGTCCAAGCACGTGCTCGTCAAGTGGTACGGTGTTTTCCCATGATGGAGGTCAACTATAGGTTTTTGTTTTCTATAGAATTATACATACAAAACTATTTTCCATTAACCTAAATCTGATTTATAACTATCATCTTTGATTAACTGAAATTATGCCACTTCTAACAAGAACAACTTACACATGAGAAAAATTAAACGTTACAACCAAAAGCAAGGAAACATCTCTAAAAAGATCGAAGCATCTGTGTTTTGGTCATGACTTTTATCATTTTTACTAAGGTTAAACAGACGGTTAAACATGTTAGGAGAATCAAAGAGTGTTTGTGAACACAACAAATAAGTCGGTAAAACAATTCCTGGATGTAAACAGAGATTTGGTGGTTGAAAAAGTGAAGTTTTTCTGACTTCTTTTGAAAAAAAACAGTGACTAACAGGTGAGAGGACGAGATCTGATTAAGTTGTTTTGTGGGAGGAAATCGAGTTGTGGTGAGAACTGACGCAAAAAGATTTTAACTCGAATTTAAATAAATTTCCATAACTGATTGCTGGATTTATTTGTAAATAAAAGGTGAGGAATATTTGCTGTTTTCTAACACCCTTTTTAATGATGTAGAAATTGTGTTAGAAGCATAAAAACTCACATCAAAAACACTAAAAAATGTATTATTTTGATAGCCATTATGGCTTTAAGAAAGTATCTCATTAATTAGCTTTCATTAATTCTTGAATGCCACATCTGGACAGTTTTTGTAACAAAGTGACAGCTTTAGAGAGAATTGTAATCTCATTTTACACAAACAAAAATTTTGATTCTTAATTTGGTAAGAACAGCTACCCCCCCCCCCCCCCCCCCCCCTCTCTCTCTCGCTCTTTTACGTCCTCAGAAATGGTCTTACCTCCCAGGGTCACATTGCCATGAAGGAAACGCCCCTGAAAGATGAGGCGCAGAATACTGGGACTGCTCACCTGCTCTTCCTCCCACCCTGCAGGAGAGAGGACCACCATGAGCATCTTCATCATAAACATAAACCAAATTCACCATCTTAGACAAACAAGACAAGAAATCTTAAATTTGTCAATTCTGACACAAATTAGACATTTTACAGTAAAATATACTTTTAAAAATCACATTTAGCATCTCAGTGGTGATTGCACATGATTAAAGCATGATCTCAGCGCAGCTCCAGTAGTTTACTCCTGGTCAACACATTGTCCTGTTACACTGACGGACCACTTCTATTGTTCAGCATCACTTTTTGACACAATAATACAGCTACTGCCCCTTCAGTTGCTTTGACTTTTTATATTTGAGGCAAAAATGCTGTTTAAAAATGAAAAAATTAAACATTATTTACAAAAATAACCAACACCGTGTGTCATCAGAAGTGTGAGAGATGTCAAGAGTGTCCAATCCTAGTTCTCGAGGACTACTATTCTGTGTGGTTTCTCTGCTCCAACACACCTGTTTTAAACAAATGATTGATTAACGGGCTTCTGCAGAACTTTAAGAGGTAATTCAGTCACTGAATTGGGGGTGTCGGAGCAGGGAAACAAGTAAAAACATGCAGGATAGTGGCCCTCAAGGACCAGGATTGACCACCCCTTCTGATCTGAACCGTACCTGCCGGCCAGTTTTCAAACACGTGCTTGGCGATGTCTGTGGCCGAGTCGTTCGGGGAGAAAGTGAAGTCCTGCGTTTTGCCACTGACCAGGATAAGGCGGAGGTGCACCTGAACAAACAAACAAAAACCAGTTCATAAAAACAACACCATCCAATTCAAATACCGAGCTTCCAACAAAAATCAGCTTTAATTAGTTGTGGCAAAAGTCCCTCTATTCCTCCAACCTCTTCGAGCATGAGGTGACCTTCAAAAGGCTTAGAAGAGACGGGCATTCCAATCTAATTAGATTCATTCGCCGCAGATATCCACCCTTTAACTGGGCGATTTGATCCACTGGAGGCTCACGCTGAAGTGAGTCCCTGTTGCCAGAAACAACAGATAAAGGGTGGGGTTAAAGGGGGGGTGGGAGCGCGGCCCTTTAGTTCAGGGTGCTGCTGCTGCTTCGCTCCGGGCTGTCAGCTTAATGCGATAACCCCGGGGCGTCCCAGACAGCTCGGGGACACGTTATTAATTTTACAAGGCAAGTGCACGTGTGTGGGAGCGCTCCCAACAGCAGGGGCTTCCTCTGGCAGCCAGCCGGTGTGTAAATAAATAAAAAGGAGGAACCACTTCACCAGAATGTAACAATATCCACTGGGAGGTTTTAAAATTACCAAAAACTATGCCAAACCTACAAAGTTTATAGTAACTCAGTCTGCTGCACATCCTCTCAAAAGATTTTTTTTTTTAAAACATTCTTAGTTTTACATCAGTAATAATACTGTAGGTCTTTCCTGCCATATAAGCTGCAGTATATAATGAATATAGAAATGTATACTAAATGTATGATAAAACTGAAAGTACACCCAACAGTTCTGTGTAATTTTATGCACTATTTTTTATCTTTATTTTTAGTGTTAGTGTTGTCTGTGTGACCTTGCTGCTGCAAATGATCAATTGTATTTATCTGACCCACATTCTCAGCTCTACTGCTCACCCCACAAATGCATGTTCCTTACAAATGTGGCACCATTTAAAAAGAGATATTACCAGGCTTTCCAACTTTAGAATATGTCTTTGTTGTAACAATGCTTCTTGGCAATAAATCTTATACCAAACGCAAACTTCCTTACTTTTTGTGCTAAGTATTTCAGTCGAAGTTTTATCTCTATTTAAATTGACAGAAGTGAGAACGTCTAAGGCTTTGTTATATTTTAAAAAAAGACCGTGAACTTTCTTTGATTTACAAACCACAAAGAGAACAAAGAGATTTGACTAATGTGTGACGTCAGAAAGTGTGTGCGTGGGGTTTACTGACCCTACTTACTTGATCTGTTTACAAATACACCCCCCCCTCCCCCCCCACCCAGCTTTCAGTCCTAACCGGTGGTTCCCTGCGCTCATCTCCTCCCTCTGAACCCAGTAACCTCGATGTGGGGGGGTTTCACGTTTGTGTCATCATGGACAGGGTTTTTGGCCAGCCCTTTTCAGCTCAGACGAAATAAAAACAAAAACAAATCTGCCTGGTGACCCATCCGTCATCACAAATGCCACAAATTTACCTATCCGGAGGCAGATTTTAAACTCGAGCACAGTGATAAAACTTACAAACACATAAATTACAGGGGTTTCTTTTAAAGGTTTATCTGGAAAATTTGTTTGTTTGTCAAGTTTCCCCAGAAGGTTGTGTTAACAAGATAAAAGATTATTATTGTTTGAATTTATACTTGAGGAAAAAGGGGCAGATATAAGATTTTTTTCTTCTCTCTGCTGCCTTTTATTTCGTTTTGTTTGTATTTTCCTTTTTATTGTACATTGAATTACTTTAGTTTTTTAAGGAAATGAATAGTTTGAAATAAAAACAAATGACAATGCTAATTTACTGTATCAACTATTGCTTTACTGTGGGTTTGCACTTTATTCTGATGTTTCAAATATATATAAAGATGTTATGTTCAGAAGTGCCATAGCTAAACCCTCCACTGTTGCTTGGACTCGAGGCTAAATAATCTGATTTAACAAGCAAAAGCTGCTGGTACCAGCTTCACAAATGCGAGTGCCCATTCTTTAGGTTGAAATTGGGGGGCAGGGCATAAAGAGGGTACAATCAATTGGCATGTAAACCTTGAAAGGAAAGTAGGCCACCGTTTTAACCGAGATTAGACAGATGGCGTTCACAGGAACAGCCGTCACGATCCCAGCTAAGTGTTTGAGGAAGTTCATTAATCCACACCCCTTTACACGCACCCCCCCCCCCAAAAAAAAACAAAAACAAAACAAAACAAAACAAACAAACAAACAAACACAATTATCCTAACGTGACCAAAATGATTATGTGATGATTGAGCCACCATCACAGCACAGATAGTCATGTCCAAAACTTTTAAACCACTTCATTATGCTTCCCTTCAAGAGACAGATTTTGTAAAGTGGGGGCAAAACTGTCAAAGTCCAAAGAAAAGACTTTGAACAGCCCTGTATACATTCATGGCAGAACATCGAGTAAATTACACATCGTCTCATCAAAGAACAGATTTGTCACCTTTGTTTTGTGGAGTGTTTAGTGTTCAGGTTGACAAAGGCTCCACTCACCAAATCATTTTCACTCTGGGTGGTCATGGCTCAGCGACGACGAGGACAGCAGACAGGACGAGATTGGTGTGCTTCAGCTGCTGGAGACGGGGCCAGAGCCCTGACAAACAAAACCAACACTGTCAGGTTGATTTCCACATTCACACAGCCTGAGCCTGGCACTAAAAACTGCACACCAGTCACTGTTATCCGCCGAGCTGGCATATTCTCCACAAGCCAAAACCATAACACTAAGAATAATGCATTACCAATTAACTAAAAAACGCATTAGCAGCAGGTAAACCGTCTCAGCGGCTTCTGCGGGGAAAATAAATCCTGATAAATGTCGAGCAGAGCTGCGTTAATGGTAGCATTAGTAGCTACGTTAGCTTAGCTTAGGCTAACGCGTTCGCCGGTTTAATAAAATGTGAAACGGTGATTTTAGACTCACGAAACTCACCTGCATCTGATGACCGTGATGGAGTTTTGCATTCAGTTGAGTTGACGAATCAGCATTGGGTATTTTTAAGGGAAAATTATACGACTGCAGATGGATTTGATTATGGTTGACTCGGGGATGCTAATGGACGAGAAAAACGCAGGATGTCAGCTGGTTGTAAACGCAAAGGCTTCTGGGAGTTGGAGTTCACCGCGACAAACCAAAGCACGTTTGGTGCAGAAGGTGATGTCCTGATGCATCTCAGTAATCCAGGTAAAAAAAAATCAAAAAGAAAAAAATTGTATAGGTTTTCTGGACGGGTTCTTCTCTAATGAAACGTTTCGTCTCTCCTCCAAGAGACTTCTTCAAAATTCAGGCTTTTAAGCCCTGCCTCCATGTGACTGATACTCACATCACATGGCTATCGTTGACACCTAATTAACACTTATTGTTAACAGCGGGGTGGAGTGATACTGGCAATAGCCGCGCTGTAGGACGGGGACAACTGTCCTCCTGGCGGACTGCGACCAGTTATACATCGGGGAAACAAAGCAACCACTGTTCAAAAGAATGTCCCAACACAGACGAGCTACGTCTAATGGCCAGAACTCTGCAGTTTTCACTCATTTACAGGCCAGCGGTCACTCTTTCAGAGATGAGGATGTTCTCATTCTTGATAGAGAGGAACGTTGGTTTGAGAGAGGAGTAAAAGAAGAAAGACCGTCCATCATTAAACAGAGGTGGAGGCCTCCGTTTTCAGTTGTCCCCCTCCTACAGCATGGCTATTGCCAGTATCACTCCACCCCCTGTTAACAATAGGTGTTAATTAGGTGTCAACGATAGCCATGTGRTGTGAGTATCAGTCACATGGAGGCAGTGCTTAAAAGCCTGAATTTTGCCTGAAACTCTCAGACTGAAGAAGTCTCTTGGAAGAGAGATGAAACGTTTCATTACAGAAGAACCCGTCCAGAGGACCTATACAATTTTTTTCTTTTTGCAGAAGGTGATGTTCACCGCTCATTCGGGATCTCGGAACTTTAACAGCACTGTTTGTTTGTTTGCTTGTTTGTTTGTTTGTTTGTTTGTTTTTCTTTCAGAACCCATCAACTCATCTTCATCAGGTGACATTTTGCTGATTGTTTTGAAGACATGGCAACTGAGCAACCTCCTGGAGCTGCAGTGGTTTTGTCAAAGTTCAGGTGAAGTTTTCTGTAGTGAGTGAGTGAGTGTTTATAAAGCGCCTTTCACAGAAATATGATCACAAGGTGCTGTACAATCATCAACAATGTAAAAATGGCGGAAAGACAAAATAAAACATAATAAAAACATAAACAACATAACGAAACATCAAAAACAAGAAGAATAAATTCAAAATTGTAACCCAGACACACGGTCGAGGCAGAGCATGACAAGAAATGAGGGTTATGTATGCAAGACTGTACAAATCATAGTAAGAAAATAAATTGTTGAATAAAAAAAGGAGAGTGAGATTCGTGCCATATATACAATAATACAAAAACACAGAGAGAAGTGGGGAAATACAAAAACACAAGATTGGCGAGCAATCACTAAAGGGGTAGGCTGCCATTTGTGGTGAATGGTTAGCTAAAAGCTTGAATAAAAAAGCAGGTTTTTAGGTGTTTCTTAAAAGAGACAATGTTATCAAGGGAGTGCAGATTAACAGGGAGTTCATTGGGGGCCACAGAGGAGAAGGTACGGTCACCGCAAGTCTAAAAGCAAGTATGGGGAACCTTTAGGAGATATTGATCCTGTGAGCGTAGGTCCCGTCTGGGGTTGTATGTAAAATATATTATGAATTACTGGATGGATTTTTAACGAAACTCTCAGAAAGTAGCTAATCAATGGATGCACATCTATGACTGATTTAACTTTGGGGGTCAAACCTCATTCAAGATGGCTGCCGCAGCAACTGATGGTTAGAAACAAAAAGTTTGCCACAACTCCTACACAAATACTGAGCTACAAGTTGTCATGGTAGTGGCTGAGTGTCAGTCTCAGCATATACTTTGAGAGCTAACATTCATATTCAGATCTCACATAAGAGCACATAATGTCATTGATCAAAACAGCATTGTAACCACATTTTAGAAGGGCAATATGCATCCCTGCAAAGAATGTTAACTCACTTTTGATGTTTTTATCCTTTGGAACAATTGTATTGAAAATGGGCTAACATCAGTGTCTTTAAAATGCAGTTTTGTTTTTATAGGTCTTTTCTGTTTCAACCAGGACAGTCATATACAAGAATTTTAGTTTTTTTAAGTCTAAACTAATACTTTACCAAGACAAAAATGAGCTACATCTTCCTTTGAAAGTTTTTTTTTTTTTTCATTTTTACTAGCTTGGACAGAACAGATCAGCACACAAACATTTTCATGTCCCTCCAGAGACTGTCTCTTGGGTTTAGGCCTGGACTCTTTCAATCTGAGAACCTGAACTCCCTGAAAAGATTCTCACTCAATTCTCTATCCTAAACAGTTTCCTTTTAAAAAAAAAAAATGTTCCCACGAGGCTGCCTATTTTGACTGTAGAGAATGCACTGATAGCATGTGTGCTTATTACAATTCTCATACTATTATTTTGACATTTAGTAGATTTAATTAGTAGCATATTGCTGGAATAAATACATGAACTACACTTAATATGTTTTAGCATAATATTTTGTAATTTAGATAGTAGTATTGTATTGCTGTGTAATCAGTCTGTACTTTTTATTTGGGAAATTTGCAAAGAACCAGAGCTCAGTTTCTGATCTCTGGTATGTTTGGAGGATGTAAATAAGTTTGAAAAGTATTATTTGCAAACTTTGAAAAATCTGAAGACCTGTGATACCCATCATTTGACACATTTGATGGAGCAACCACTTGTGCTGGGAGAAATGATGTAAAATGTCACCGAATCCGTTTTTAGATGTCAAATGAGCTTAAAAGTTAAGACGACGTGCCTGAAATCCAGTAAGATGAGTCACAGTTGTACAACTATTCATGCAGCCGAACTTAGTGACATTTTGTATTTTCGGATCATGTTACACTTCACTCGGCGCAGCTCGTCATCAGATATTTTTGAATCGTGAATCACATAATGACAACGGAGCAATTAAGAACCAACGCATAGATGTTAGGTTTATGTTTGAAAAGCATTTGTATAAAAAGAAAAAAAATTGACTTCTGACCATTTTTCCTCCTAAAAAATAAACCTCCCTAAAATGTTTTATGTCCAGTCTTTTTCCTGAATCGATGCCAATTAACCCAATTAGTTGCTGAATTCTCTGTTCTCTGAATTTGCTGTTACTTGTATCTCATGCTTTTCGGCTTTTGATGTATTTATGTGTTACATTGCGAATAAAATATGGGTTTACGAGATTTGCAAATTGTTGCAATCTGTTTTTATACATTCAACACAGAGTCCCAACTTTTTTCCAAATTGAGGATGATCATTAAAATTGATTTAGTATCTCAGCTGCATGTGTTTAAGTGGATTAAAACAGATCACAGTGTTTCAACGTAAGCTTAAGGCCTCTGGTGTTCATCCGAGGATAAGATCCATGTGGTCAGGAGGGAAATTATCCTGGCTGGTGTTGATTCAGAGTTTGGAGTGTCAAAGACAAAGAGAAAAAAAAACCACACACACACAAAAAGTACAACTTTGTGATGGATCCTGTTTGTTTGTTGTTCTGCTGAGTGCAACAGGATGTGTGCTTATGTTAGTAACGCCACGAGGCAAACTGTGTCTGCACCTGGCTATCAGACACCTGGAGCCAGTGGAGCGTTCTGAACAGGAAACCTCTCACCAGACTCTCCTTTGTCATGACTCAGCTAAACAAGGAGCGGCACAGGTGTAAGAACAAACATTAAGGATGGAGATTAAGAGCAGTTTCTGTCTGGGGTGTGTTACTTTTTATCACAATGAACAGGAAGTTGCACAGGTATTCAAAAGAAAAAAAAGACAAAGTTATGTGTCAAGCAGACTAACCAACCTGCTGTCAGGTTAACAGAGGAGTTGAACTACAGTGCACTTCATAATTTACTATTGAAGATCACATTTCTGTCATACAAAAGGCCCTGACGCTAAATTACCACTGAAAACTGGAGCCTTTTACAAGGAACGGTGTTTGGTGACAAGACAAAAATACGAGCAGTGTACAGTACACACAATCGCAGAGTTATTTCCAAAATACACATGTACTGTGCGAGTTAGTAACATTTTCCAGGCAAAACAAATCCAGCTCAAGTGTCGGGACACCACACCACACAACGTCTTTGAGTCAAGCGCTGAAGGCACCGTTTGACAGAGATATTCTCAAATCTAATACCTTATTTATCAGATTTCAAGAAGTCATTTTCAGCTAACCTTTAATAGTGAAAAAAAAAAATTTCTCCTGAACCACCAAATCTCTCAAAGTTTCAGAAGATGGGCTTTAATAACTGATTAGCGTTTAGATTCAGCCCAATTTAAGATGCCCGCCACAGTTACTCCACATTACCCGACACATATAACTAAAATTTGAAGTGGTAGTAGCTGAGAGTCATCTTCAGCAGCCTGACAGCTCACAATATTGCAACAGATAAAGCATATTAATTTCAATATATGACGATCTCTCTGACTTTGACTTCATTTTATTGTATTTGTCCAGTAGGGAGACGTTGGATTAACTTTAAAATAAATAACTCACAGCCTTTGTGTTTTTATAACCTCAAGTTCACAAAACTACCAGGTTTGAGTTACTTACAGAACAAACTGTTGGTATGGTGGTTCAGGCACACACCTAAAGCATCCTCACGTTTTTTCTGGTATTATCTTTTTTACTACTCTTGTTGGACTCCGTCAATCCCAATTTGTGTCTTCTTAGACCTAAAATGTAGTAAAAATATAATTACTTTCACGCCAAAGTTAGTAAGAAAGATCTGTTAGTGCTTAGAGTAGTGGTTCCCAAAGTTCGGGTCCCAAAACATCAAGAAGATGCCTTGAAAAGATTTTTTTTATCTAATTACATTTAAAAATGACTACTAACAAGTTGTTAGTAGTTAGTTATTATTAGTAACAACAATTTCTTGTCGTAGTTGTTACAAGAGTGAGTTAGAGAAGAACTTGTATTTTGTGAGTCAAAAGCAGAAAAGTTTGGGAACTACTAGAGGATGTTTCTGGGGATAACATACAAAACTTTTAGTTCAGAATCGGTAAAATCTGCCATTTCTGTGTTGCTGAGGTCAGTTAGGTGAAATAATTTAATCAGTTGTTGATGTACATCTTCAAATCTTGCTAAAAGACAGATACTGACTTAGACAGATGATTTTTTTATATATGAACGCCCACTTTTCAAGATGTGGGTGGTAATCTAGTAAATAAGTAATCTGTAATAATAAATATATGTCAATATGGATGACACCCACCAGTAAGAGCTCTGAAATGATTCCTGTTTGGTCCAAATGGATTGTCAAATACATTAGTTTCAACCACACAAATAGTTAAATTCAAAATATTCTTACTTCAGTGGCTGTATACACAATAAAACAGCACAAAAGCAAATTAAAATTAATTATGCTACGATTTTTCATTCATAAAATTAACATAGAAATAGACTCTTTGCTTTCTTTAAATGTATTTTTTATTTTAATATGTTTTTATTAATGCATTTTTATTGAACACAAACAGTATTAACAGTAAAACAACTATAATTTTGTGGTACTTTTTTTATCTGCTGACGTGATTCCCAATAATGCGGAAGTGGTACACTTTGAATAAAAAAATGCATAACTGGTTTAAGACTGCTACGTCATCAGTCTTTATCTCTTTAATTACTTGGGATTGTAATTCACCTCAAATGAACTTTGTGTCCTCCGAACATAAACACTTACATAACGCAGGTTACACACTGCCTCCTTCAGCTTCTGTTTACGACTTTTACGCTCCGTCACATGACGGACTCTGTTTCCCAGATTCCCCCGTCGCGCATGCGTAGACCGCGTTTTCTGACATTGGTAAACAGACGTCAGAAGGGAGTCTTCGCTTCGAGTCAAAACAAAACAAAGCAAAACAAGTCGAAAAGAGCGCAAAGAAACGAGCATTTGGGCCGCCGCGACGGAGGAAAGTTCCTTAAAAGTCGTCGCCTATCAGAAGCGGGTGACCGGAGGCCGTAATCTGGAGCTTTTGACGGAGTTTTTCGCGGATTGTAAACTCTTGAGTAGCAGGGGAGCTTAAGCAGCAGCTAACGTTACGGTGCCTGTTTTCAAAGTGCGGCGAAGAGTCCGAGCCGACGGAGCAGCCGGGACTTTCAGCCGGACTATCAGGTGCGTTTACCGAGTCCACGGCGATAAACAAGGAAGAAAAACCAGAAGAAACCCTAGCTGAGCCCCAGGACCGTTCTGTGGGAGTTTTGTTAGCGGGTTCTTCGAACATCGTGTGCCGCCGCAGGAGTGTGGAGAAACATCATGGCAGATGGTGACACGCGCCTGGCCGCAATGTGGCGGATCGTGCAAACCTGAGGACTTTTTTGTTTTTTACATTTTAACCCTAATCACACTAAAAAAAAACTAGTTCATCAAATTGATTTTTCTGTTTTTTGTAATTAGTTTGCATATTTATTGACTGGACTGTCCACAGACAGACGGAGGACCGCGTCTCTGAACTATTTGTACTTTTTTTCTTCTTCTTCTTTGGAGGGGGAGCAGCACAAATTAGATCCTCGGAAATTTTCATTCTTTAATCCACTTTTTATAGTTAAAGTTAGTCGTTTATTGTGTATTTTTATATTGTTTTGTTTGGGACTTGTTGTTTACAAGTGCTGAGGGTTTCTCAGAAGTAGCCAGATAATCCCAGATTGAGTGTTTATAGTTTTACGTTAAAACAAAAACTGAATTCTGGCAAATTTGGGACAAAATAATTTTTATATTTTTCTTAGTTCTTTTCATATATTATTTCTGAAGTTAGACAAAGATCTGTTGTTCGTCTGGAATGGGATTGTTTGGGTTTAAATCACGTTTAAGGTTGTTTTCATTCATTTCCTGGTGAACATCTGTAGATCCAGATGTTTTGGTGTCCATCGCTGCTCCGTCACTTTTGTTTGTGTTTGATTGGAACAAAGGGGTTCCAGTCGCAGCCCTCCTTCCCCCGGGTTAAATCTGAAGGTTTATGATAGTTACTATTAAGGAGATTATTTGGGTTCCCTAATCTCCAATCTGAGGATTAACCAAGGCCATCGGTGTGTTCAGATTATTGAGTCTCTTCTCTAGGCCCCTCAGTTGACCCCCACCTTGCAGTAGAGGTGTTTTTTTATGTTTTAAAGTTTTTCAAGGCTGTATTTATCCTTTATTGACCTTTTGGAGGTAAATGTTTTAAAGTGAGGCGCAGCTGGTGAAGTAAAACTCAAAGAGCCGCCATGATGGAGGAGTCGTCGATGCCCCCGATCGACCCGGATTTCGAGCCGCAGAGCAGACCACGCTCCTGCACGTGGCCGCTCCCGAGGCCCGACATCTCGGTTGTGAAACCGGAGGGGCCGGACGGCGCCGAGTCCGCCGCGGGGACCCCGCCCGCGGACGAGGACAAGCCCGAGCCGCAGCAAATCACCTCCGAGCCGGAGAAAGCCGCGGCAGAGGGCGGGGCCTCCGCCGGGGCGGCCGGAGCCGGAGCCACGCCCCGCAAGGGCTCGTCCCGGCGCAACGCGTGGGGCAACCAGAGCTATGCCGACCTGATCAGCCAGGCCATCGAGAACTCCCCGGAGAAGAGGCTGACCCTGGCCCAGATCTACGACTGGATGGTGAAAACTGTGCCTTACTTCAGAGATAAAGGAGACAGCAACAGCTCAGCAGGCTGGAAGGTAGAAAGACATGTTTATTTAAGTTAAAACAAAAGTAAAATCACTTTTAACTGTTTGCATTTGTCTCAGTTTTCACTATGGTTGCCAGCTGTGCAGATACAGTGTGAATCTGTTTATAGATCATAAAAAAAAACTTATGCTTGTTTTCTACATGGAGAAATGTTGAACACAGAAATATACTTTTAAGTAACTGAAGCTACTAAGAAGTTTTTGGTTAAGTTGAAATTTGTGTGTTAAATTGGACTTTTTAATTTAAATTTGCAGCAGATTTAAAAATAACTTTTTTCCTGCACTTTTACTCATTTTATGGATCCTCTATAATTATTCAATTCAATAAAATTTATTAGTTTAATTAAAAAAATAACCATATACAATGGAAAACAAAGAAAATACACAAATCAAAATAAAATGAAAGGTAGCAGAAAAATAAATCTTATAATGTCTGCCCCTTTTATCCACAGAATAAATTCAAACAAAACAATTTACAAAACAGTACTTGATAAAAATAAAAACATCAACTCAAACAACAAATCATATAACACCCCCCACACATATATATATATATATATATATATATAAACTTTCTGAAAGTGTCACAACTTCTAAATTTAAAAGTATTGATTGAAAATTGTTCTTTGACTGATGGCTGAATAAAAAAGGTACTTTATGAATCCCTGTTGGGGAGACAATCTTAGCTGCAGCCTTGGGTAAAATCATATTGTGTGCAATTTATTGTCAGAAAAACTGTCAACAGTTAATATTTGCCTTTTTGCAATTGCTGCAATTAGTGTGCCACGTGTTTATATACTTTTGTGTACGACTATAAAGATCTGCTGCCACTCAACATTGTTACAACCCAGCTTACTCTTTTAACCTGTTAAAATGAAAACGTTAGTTTGACTGATGATTTTGAAGCACGTTTTTAAAACATTGATTTATAGTAAAAAAAAAAAAACATACAAGTGTAATTTTTTCCTTAATCGTTATCAGCTAAATGCCACAATTAATTGTGATTCATTTTTTTGACAATATTGCCCAACACTACCGCAGCCCATGACAAAAATACAACGGACCATAAAGGATGCAAGTAAAACAATGCAAAATGGTAAAAACTGTGCAATCGACCATTAAAGCTGAGCTCAAAATAGGTATCAAACCATAAAAAATTACAGAACTGTACAAATTATTTAAATTGTTCACAAAAGAGTCATCATTTATTGCAGTCAGAAGTGTGATGGTAAATAAACTTTCTTGTTTAGAGAAACAAAATCCTGCAGCTTTAATTTTTCATGTTTATTTTTTTATGTTTAGAATTCAATTCGCCACAATTTATCACTCCACAACAAGTTCTTGAGAGTTCACAATGAGTCGACAGGAAAAAGCTCCTGGTGGATGCTCAACCCCGAAGGTGGGAAGACCGGGAAAGCTCCCCGCCGCCGAGCTGTGTCCATGGACAACAGCAGCAAACTGCTGAAGAGCCGCATGAGAGCCAAGCAGACCAAGAAGCAGGCGGGGGCGGCCGGCGCGGGGGCCGTGCTGCCGGGGGACGGCGCCGCCGGTTCGGCCGGCGCAGACAGCCCCAACTCGTCCCAGCAGTTCTCCAAATGGGGCGTCAACAGCAGCAGCCCCTCGTCTCGCGGCAGTCTGGACGACGCGGACATGTGGACCACCTTCCGCCCCCGCACGAGCTCCAACGCCAGCACCCTGAGCGGGCGCCTGTCCCCCATCGCTCCCGTCCAGGAAGACGACGACGATGACGACAACCTCCCCGAGGACGGGCTGCTGGGGAGGTACTCCAGCAGCAGCCTGACCCCCACCCTCACAGAGACCGTCATGGAGGAGCTGGATCTGATCGACAACCTCACCTTGATGACGGGGCAGCAGGGCGGGGCCAGTCCCAGCACAGCCCCTCCGGCGCCCCCCACTCCGCTGCCCTCCGCCTCCACCCTGCTGCCCCGAGGCTCCGGCTTCCCCTCCTTCCACCAGCTGCCGTCGACCAGCCTGTCACCAGCACCCTCCAATGCGGGGGCGCAGGCCTCCGTCTCGCTGTGCGGACCGAGCAGCAAAGAGCCCGCCACCTTCAGCAACTCCATCTTCACCCCGATGCCCACCCCTGGCTCCCGCGGGAGCGGCCACTACGGCGCCCACGTCCCCTCCAGCCTGGAGACGCTCCTCACCTCCGACTCCCCTCCTCCGAACGAAATGTTGATGTCCCAGGTGAGCAGTCCTGGAGGGATGGGGCAGATGGGTCTGGGGTCGTCTGTGGTGGGCGTGAGGCCCACCTCCAGCCAGCTGCAGATGAGCAAAGGGCTGGAGGCGAACGCCGTGGCGCCGATGGCTCTGCAGCCTCAGATGCAGCCTCAGCAGCACCACCTCCACCACCAGCAGCAGCAGCATCACCCTCAGATGAACATCGGGATGATCCTGTCCGGCATGTCCCAGGACCCGCCGCAGCTCTCCGCCCTCAAAGCCCACCACCCGATGGTGCCGGCCATGGGCGCTCATCACGGAGGGCCCCTCTCCTCAGCCAATCAGAGCATGAGCCTCCAAGGGATGAATCCGTTCGTGGCGCCGTCCAGCTTCCCCACCGGCCCAGACCGCCTGCCCACGGACTTGGATGTGGACATGTTCACTGAAAACCTGGACTGCGACGTGGACTACATTATTAACAGTGACCTCATGGACGGAGACAGCATGGATTTCAACTTTGACCCTATTCTGCCCGGAGGCCAGGGCTACCCGGGCCCCACCACGACACAGGGGTCCGCTCACAACTGGGTGCCCAGCTAATTCCTCAGCTCAGCCCACAGAATTATCCAGGTATGCTCACTCTTTGCCTCTGTTTTTTTTACCGTGTAACAATATATTTTTAATAATCTATAAAAACAGCCAGTATTTTTACAGTCTTTGTTTTACAGTTAAGTAAATGTTTGTCAAATAATGTCTAATGTTACACCTAGTCGGGGTTCCCTTTAAGATCCAAACATTGGATTTATTAATCCCGTGAGCTGAAACTGTTAGCTTCTTTTTGTTTTTATATAATTAAATCAAACATTTAAGTCATACTTGGCATCACTAGATCAAAAAGATGGTCGTTACACGTCCACACGCCAGCTTTAAAGTGCACCGCTTGGCATTACCTGGATTTACGAGGCAAACAGCAGAAACACAAACGACTCTCGTATCGATCGTCTTCTCTTGCAGAAACAGAGCTCCACTCAACACAAACCTCAACAAACAGCAGAACAACCCAGGCGTCCTTCTTCCCAGCGGGCTGAAGATACAGTTTTTTACTAGAGAGAAATACAAATTTTCTCTTGGATTTTTAAAATGGATGCCTGACCCACGTCATGTGCCAAGACATGCAGAGGACAACGGGACGATTCAGGCTACTATGCACAGTTTTTCTCCTGTTTTTTTTTTCTTTGTAACACTTGGCAAAAAAAATATGGCTGCTAGCCGTATTTTTTTCCCTAACTGAAACTGAGTATTTTTTTTTAAAGATGATGTGTGACATAATATTTTTGGAGTGGAAAAGACAAATCATTGTCTCCCTGCTGCTGGGAGTTTGCATTTCAGTCGAGTTACACCAGAGCAGCTTTAGATGATGGTACCCTGGATTTATCTGGCGCCGGTGTTCATAACTTAAATTTTTGTTTTGTTTTCCTTTTAGAGAAATGGCCAGTTTTTGCGCTGACACTCGCTCAACATGAACCAGACCAAAACGCAGCGCGATCGCCTGAACTGGGCGCCCGCATCGCCCCGAAAACAGAAGAGTCTCGATTAAAAATAAATAAATAAACTGGACAATCTGTTAAAAAAAAGTTTTGTTGCCCAATTTACAAATTTTAAATAAAAAACGGAGAAGAAAATATAAATTTGGAAGAGAAATTTGACATTTTTTGGTGTCGATCCAGCGTGTTAGGACATGTTTTTATGAGGTTGTCTTTTTTATTTTATTTTTTAATTTCCTGATGTGCAGTTAAACTAACAAAATGAAGAAATGTGATTTGTGACTTTATACACGGGGGGGCATTAAAGAGTAAATTTAGTCGCTGATGAGTTTTAGGACGTCCTCAACAGGAGAATGCTTCCACTATCAAATTGTCAACTTTTTTTCCCCTTGTTTTCTGTTTGAGTCCTTTTCAAAGCACTTAGGTTTCCTGCGACTCAGGAACCCCAAACTATAAGAACAGATCCAAGTTAGTTTGTTTCATTTCAATGAAAAGAGAGTTTATAATATTCTAAAAGAGACTATTTTAATGTAGACGTTGCACAAGTACTTGACGGCACGCTATGCAGACTTACCAGGGGAGGTTAATGGAAACCTTGAAGGAAATTTGAGCAAAAAAAAAAAAAAAACACTTTCTTGAAGGCTTTCGCTATTTTAAGATTTTTCTGATTTTTTTTTTCTTTTTTTGGGTGGGGGGTTAAGATTTGGATGTCTCACACTTTAATTTCTAAATAACTAATGCTAAAGCAATTAATCAACAGTGTGAGTAACAAAAAAGAATATATTTGATTATAGTTTTAATATACAATTTAGCTTGATAAAGATATTAATACAAATAAATATATTACTAATAAAAAAGTGGTGTTTTTTTACATCATAGGAAGCATTCTCAGATTGTTTTTAACGGTAATTTTCTATGCTTTTATTTTTGTAAAGAATGAAATGCGTGTAGATTTTTTTTTTTTTTTTACGTAACCAAAGGAACACTAATATTTGCATGGCATTTAGGGAGCGCTTGGGCCTGAGACAGTATCCTCGATGTACATAAGCTTTGCTGGAAAAAAAATTACCTGTAATGTGATTTATTTTATTTTTGTTTTGTTTTATTTCGTTTTTGGAAGATGAATACTTGATACATGTTTGGCTGAGAGTCCCCCCGCGCCACCTGCCTCGCGTCTCTTGTTTTATTCTTTAATCTTTTATTGGCAAACGTTCTCATCTCAAAAACAGTACTCACACAGCTTTTACCTCTTAGAAGTAAACAGCAAAGCAGCAAGGAAAAAAAAGAAACAACACAAACATTAGCTGTGATGAAAACCGTGTTTTTGCGTATCTTTTTTGCGCCGCGGCAGACTGGAAACCAGCATGTCTTCGTGCGATTTTCCTGGAGACTTTTCCATCTTAAAAAAGATCCAAACTCGTATATTTTAATTACTTTGATTTTAGAGACGTCTTTGTAGCTATTCATGCCTTTCCCTTGTTGTTTTTTTTTGTTTTGTTTTAAACCGACAACATTTTAAAACACTAGAGCACAAAGTGACTTTGTAGCAGGATTTCTTTTTTTCCATCTCCCTTCTCTGAACGTTTTTTGTTTAATTTTTAATTTTGTTCCCGCAGTTTAAACAAGGGGTTGTCCACTGTTCTGCGTGTTTTCTTTGTTTCTTCTCCATTGCAACCGATGTGGGGATGAATGGGGGGATTTATGGGCTTCTTTAGAACTTGAAGAGGTAATTCAGTCACTGACTCGGGAGCGTTGGCGTAGGGAAACAGACACAACATGCAGGATTGGACACCCATCTTTTTTTTCTACTGCAAAAATTTGCCATCTAAAAATAAGTTAAAAAACTAAATTATAGTCTGAATCTTCTCAAATTAAGTGAAATAATCTGGCAGTGCAGTAAGACATTGCACTTGTTGAAATAAGAGTAATTCCTAACTCTGCTCTTGCCTAGTATATCAGTTTCAAAACACGATCAAAACTATATTTTGGCTGCACATAAGACTTGTTTGGATGGACAGTTTTTGCAGAGTCACTGTAGCAGTGTGTTCTCCTCTGATCTGATATGTATAAAGCACTCTCCTTTCCTAAACGAATGTTTAACATTTTCTTATTTTACTTTTTGAAATGGTGCTAGATGAAACAATTTGTGATGTATTTGGAGTATGCCGCGCATATCAGATTTTTTTATTATTATTATTATTTTAATTCTCTCTGTAGGACAGTCAAGCAGTCAGTCCTCCACCCAACGTTTGGTCACGTGGAGCGGCTCGGCCCCGTTTAATCTGGAAAAGCAAACTTGTTTCTCTGCTAGTTTCAGTCGTAACATAACGTTAGACAAGCTGATTGTCGTAAACTGACGTCCCGTTATTAACAGCTGGTGGACGCAGCAGCTGCTTTCTCACCTGTTTACGGTTGCTGTGTTACTTTGTTTATATTCTTCCTTTATACGACACAACTATCCGCATATTTTATTTTCCTTAAAAGTTGTTATCTTAAAGTAGAAGTTGATCCCAGTATGTTTCAAGGTTTAAAATCCACTCCCCGTTTCTTGCAGCATTTTAGTATTTGGCGAAGTTTGTTTTGTTTCCTCACAAAGTAAAAGGTTGAGTGGGATCCATGAGTTGTGGAGAAGTCAGGAAATAATTTGTCTTGATAGTTGTTCTGTCATTCGTTGCCACCCCCCGCCCCCGGTTTCCTTTTACACATTGTAAAGTGAGTCAGATGACAAACAGTAGAAGAGCAGAAATAAATCCAGTAAACTGTTTAACCCACTTTGTTTCCACTTGTTATTGACTCAGACTGAAGCTCCCAGTAGAGGGCGCCATCGCTTAAGAAGTTCTGTAGTGTATATAAATGTTGAGGTGGATAATAAATGTGTCAGATTTTTATGACCTAACTTAAAAAATGACATTGATATAAAATGATCATTGTTTTGTTTTGCACTTGAGTAAAACTAAATACTGGATAAAATAATCATAAAGTATTCTAAATATGGCTACTTTTGGATGCATGGGAACCAAAAGGGGCTGTCAACACCTGTCTGTCTTTGCCTGAATGCCAAGTTAATGAGACACAGACAGAAAATTCAGCCTTTGATAAAAACAGCAAAAACATTTAAGTAAAAATTCAGAAAATTCGAGAAAACCTTTTTTTATGCCTCTGCAGTGTTTTATGTGGAAGAAACAACAATTTAAAGTGATCGTTCCAGTTTTAAAGCCCAATTTTTAAGCTCAAATATAACTGATTCTATGGAGGTTTGAGTGTGCTCACTGGATTTTTGGACAAAACCAAGTTTTATAGATGAAGATATGTATGAGGTGAAAAAGACAAAAGCAATCACTACATTTGCATATATAATTTGTATATTCACCAAAAATAGTTGTGGGCATGGGCGTAACCGCCATAGGCACTGGGTGGGACATGTCCCCCATTTTTTTCAGCCGAAGCAGGAAAAAAAGACCTTTAAAAATGTGTCCCCCCCACTTTCAAGATGGTGATTACACCCTTGGGTTGTGGGAATAAACATTTGTCTGAATTTTGAATTTTCAAGTTACTGTGGTGTCAACTGTCAGGTGAACATTTCTCAAAAAAAAAAAGCCACAAATAAATTAAACTTATACCATTACTGTGCAAAAAAATTAAAAAGATTTGCATGCTTTTCTACTATGAAATGTTTTAGGTTTTTCCTAGTTTTTAATTAAATTTATCAGTGAATTTTCATTAATTTGGTTGTTAAATCAACTAAAATAGCAAAAGACGATGTAAATGTTTTGTAAATTTGAGGTCGTAAGTTTTGTGCAAGTTGGAAAAACAGTTAAAGATAAATGAGATTAAAAAAAAGACAGACAAGTTATTTTGAAGAGTATTTTTATAGAAAATTTTTCACATTTTCAAAAAACATTTGTATTTTGCACTTGTTCTCTCATCTTACTGTATCCAACCGTCTTTTCACTGAAATGATCCAAAGATGGTTCAAACATCTTTGTCAGAACCTCTTTGCAGTGTTTGTAAGGTATCAGATTGAAATAGAGGACATTCACAGCTCCAGCATTTACCAAAATGACGCCAGCCAACACCGGGACAAAAAAAAAGAATCTGTTCTCATTTCTGTAAGGAGAGTCACACATTTTACATTTGGGAGCATCTCCCGGCTGCAGTAACCTGCCTCCACGTCTGAAGTCACCTGGGTTAACGACGCGTTTTGCTTTTGCCAAACATGCACTTGTTTCCTCCTGAAGTCTCCGAATCCGTCTGATAAACTTGGATATCTAGCCAGACAACAGCGCAACAAGCAGGTCCTACAGTCACACCCAGAAAAACAAAGTACTCAAAATATTAGAAAAAACATATTTAAAAAAACTAACAAAAAAGAAAAAACAGTTCTGCTTTCAAAACTCCAAATAATCAGCTCTGGTGCAATATAGAAACAATCATTAAATCAATAATCTAAACTTTGGAACAGTGCAGCTCTTTATTTATACAATTTAATCAATTTATTTCTATATAATGTTGGGTTCTTAACATTAATGATTGAATATTTCCTGAACATATCAGTAAAAAAAACAAACACCAAGAAGCTCAGATTAGCTTCAATACCAATTTGAAATTTTGTACAAACCCTTTTTTTTTCACCTTTCTGACAAAATGTTACCAAAGAAACAAAACAAATTTTTCAAATACCATAAATCGAGTACCTTCGCGCAGAAATCTGACGTAAAACAAAGTGGGAAAGTTTGAGAACAGTCAAAAAAGTTACAACAGTGAAGAAGAAAATTGTCAGACCCACAAGTTTTATCATCGTCTACCCACGAGCTACATTGCATTATAAATATATATAAAGTTTTTTTGTTTATTTGTTTTAAAAAGTGCTTATTAAAAGAAACTATGGTGATGTGATAACTTCCAGCAGTGTCATGGCTGTTTTTGTTCTTGACCAGCATTAATACGAAATATCAGGGAGAGCTAAATTACCTTCACAGTCCACTAAAGGTCCTTCAAAACTGAAAAAAAGAAGGGCTCCCAATAACATTCATTCAACTTGTACAAAAACATTTTTTTAAGAAAGCTTAATACAAAAGGAGATTTGTTTAACAACAACAAAAAAAGGAGTGTTGGCCACGGAGAGGAACTGGAACACACGGCAGGAGGTAAAAATTTAAATAAGTACTAATAATTGCACATAACCTTTGAGAGCCAGGATATTTTCTGAAGACCTCATTAGAAGACACACAGCATGAGGGGTGAGAGCAGAGGGTATGGCACACTGCGGTATAAATACAATAAATCTGAGAGAGAGAAGTAATGAGGCACAGCCACGAACAACCGGGTTGCGTGTCCTTAAAAGTGCCGCTCTTCGTCCCCAGGGTCATGAGACGGCTTTGTCCTCGAGTCTCTGAGTACTGCTCCTCATCAGGCGATCATGTACTGAGTGATGGCTCTCAGCGCGTACAGCAGCTCCGCCTGCAGCCGCGCCTCCATGATGAGCAGGTTTACGTGTATCTGAGGAGAGAAGACAAATGAAAACACGTCTGGTGACAAAACACTGGAGATGAGCCGAGACTGTAAACTTCCTCTCGGACAACAGAAAATCCTGACAGAAGTGTGGAAGATGAAGCTGTTTTACACAGAGCTTCTCTGAATTCTGAACAACTTAAACAAATATAACTTTGTTGATTAGTAACTTTAAATGGAGCAGGCTGGTTCATTTTTGAACAGGAAGTTAGCTCCTGCTGTTTTCAGCCTTTAAGCCATATGGGACATAGTTACAGAAGTGGACCAAAATACAATATTTTGTTAAGAAACTATTTCTTAAAAATGTAATATAACAATTTATTATTATTATAGAAATACAAATGACCCTATCCAAATTGTGTTTTATGTAGCATTTAGAAAACAACTAAGCAAATACAATTAAATGCAGAAACACATAACTCATTTCTTATGCCTTATTCTCAATCTATCTTAGAGATACATTTGATCACTATGAGTTAAAAACAACAACAAAACCCTAAAAATCCTATTATTTTACTTTAAGATAAGAAAATACAAAAAAAAAAAAAATTAAAATCAAATCTTTGCGGCTCTGTCAGTCGTTGAAAAGCTGTGTGAACCAGGAATAAGCCTGTGTTTAAAACCCTCTTACCCTTTCTGTAGCTTTAAGCAGAGTCCAGCTGAGAGGACAAACCGGGGTTTTCGTGGCATCCGGGTAACATGCCACAGCTTTGATGTACAGCTTCAAATCTCGTGCAAGCAACTGATTCACCTCTCCGTAATCGTAATCATCGTATCTGTGAGCAAAAGGAAACATATTTACTTTGATGAATAGAAACAACTACAATCCTGTGTGAGTAGACAAGTGTTTTAGAGACAGAACATTGAGGTGGTAATCTCACCGTATTCCTAACACACAGTGGATGTAGTTCCAGATGGCCCTCTTCAGATCGGGGCTGTGCATGGAGGGCAGGGTGGCCACGCTCCTGAACCGGTCATCCAGTAGGTGGCCGATGTCCGAGTACAGCCTGTTAACTAAGGAGAAGCCGTGGTCTTCCCATGAATAGTCCTGCAATCATAACAAAACACTCCATCGTAAATATAGACCTTCAGCAACGTTTCAATCTGATTATTTTAAACAACTAGGGAAATTATATTTCCTGCTACAATGCAGAGAACGATTTTTACTACTGGAGCTGGAATCAAACTGAAAAGGTTTAACAGCATTTGAATGGCTGACTTTTGCTGAAAGTATGAAAACAAAAGTGAAAAATCAGTAGAAACGTCAAAAAACTGAATAGCAAAAAAATTTCTAAAATTAGCAAAAAGAAGCTAACAGTAGCAGAAACAAGTTAAAATTACCAGATAGGGAAAATAGTAAAATTGTTCAAATTAGTAAAAAACCAAATACAAAAAAACTTGCCATTTGTTCAAAAAGCTGAAAATAACCTCAAAATAGCTACAAAAAATGGTGAAATTAGCACAATCAATGAGAAAGAGCACATTTGCTGAATTAAGCAGTAAGAAGCCAAAATTATTACAAAAAAGGTGAATTTAGCTCAAATTAGCTGAAATGGGCTAAAAGTAGCTAAAAACACCGAAAAATAAAATAAGCACTAAAAGTTTTAAATTAGAATAACACAAAATGATAGCTAAAAAAGAAAAAAGCTGAAATCAACAACATAGAAGCCAACGGAATCTGAAATTAGCACATGGTAATAAAAAAGCAGAACCAGAACAAAAGGTGTAAAGTACAGTAAAGTTTTAGAAACACTTTAAAAGGTTTTTAAAGGATGTTAAAGGTAACTGTTCATTTGCAATGAGAACGTAATGTTAAAGTTAAATAATACTAAAAGTCATATCTGGAATTTCCTTAAGGGGTTGAACATTTTGATATTTCAATTGTTGAAATAACAAAAATTGTGGAATGTGATTTTTTTGCTGAAACCCGCATATAAGAAAAAAATGATCTAAAAAGAGACTCATTTGGTTTTGTGAGTCAATCTAATGTGCAAACTATTTAAAAAAATGTTTTAAACTGGATCAACAAATTCTGCCAGGCGCCACAGTTACATCTCGATCTGCAGTGGGCCGGCCACGACGCCCCCGTGTCAGCAGATGTAAACACTCACCTGGACTCTCAGCACTTGGAAGCGGTCCTCGTCTCTGCGGGCGAACTCCTGGTAGCAGAAGTCGGCGTCGGTGACGAAGCGCGACGGATCTGCGAAGCAAATCATCTCCTCCTCTTCTTCCATGTCTAAAAACGGAGACGGAGAGCAGAGGTGGACTTTAGTGTGTCACTAAAAGTGGCAGAGGAGTGGTGTGTCTGCTCAGGTTTCACACCGCGTGACCTGAATTTTACACTCTGCAGCTAACATCAGAGCGTAAACAAGGATGCAGTGTTTGTTTGTTTGTTTGTTGGGGCTCCAGTGGATCACCTGTTTGCTGGAGAGTCTGCGTCTGCAGAAAACGCTCGTCCCTCCTCTCTTGCTCCTCCTGGGACTTCTGGATCCTCTCCTTCAGACAAACCATGTCACAGCTGGAGTCTAGAGACTGTCCACACAAATATATGCAGATATAAATTAGTTAGAAACTAAACATGAAACACTTTATAAATCTGAAAAGCTCTCCCAGCGTTCAGTGAAGCATTTTACACAATATTTTCTGTTCGACTTTATAACCTTCAAACTGCTGCAGCCACACTGACAAACAACCACGCAAATAACTTGTAATTTAGCTTGTGATCATGTTTTTTCTTTATAATAAATATCTGAAGCACGTTTTTTTTATTATTTCCACAGCACCTTAACCAAAACTAAAGTGTTTATGCTGCAGCTGCTATGAGTTTCTAAGTCTTATTGACCCCAGTTTAACACAATACAACATGTTTGTTACATGGTTGATATGAAATTTTACAGCAAAACAAGTCACTGTCAGAAACCATTGCTTCAATGAATGAAGTAAGAACTCATAGCTACATGTTTTATTAAAAAAGAGCCTAATTTTATTGTTTTTCTTAATATTGTAGCTGTTTTACTCAGTAACCTAAAAGATGAGCTTTTTACACTTGGTTTAAAGGTTTTCTTTAAAATTATATTTAAAAAAGGTGAAAAACATGCAAATACTTGTAATGTCTAGGACTGTATTTGTCTCACAGTTCTCTCGTCTTTTGAATATCGTAACGTAAGAAGGTCTGATTTGTTTACCCGTCGTCGTGTTCTGTGTTCAGAGGGAGCGGCGAGCGACTGAGGCACGTTGGCGTTGCCGTTGGCAGCATCGAAGGGGCAGAAGGTCGGCGGGGTACCGTTGGGAGATTTGGCGAGAGGAACAAGGTCCGAGTCTGTGTTGCATCCAAACACAAAGCTGCAGAGGGAGTGGCAGTGGGCCAGGATCACCACGGCCTGGACCAGCTCGGCCAGAGACCAGCACTGTTCGCCTGCTTTCAGCAGGGTCTGCGTGGAGCCGAGACAAGACTTTACAAAAAAATAACTATAAAAGGAAAAAAAAGAAGATTTTTGCGGATCTTTGTCATACCTGGATGTGGGAGCAGGTGGTGAGCCAGGGCTGGTGGGCCAGCACCTTGTTGATGTGGTCGAGAAGGCGGAGGCGGGGGGGTGCTGCTTCCAAACCCTGCAGCCACAGAGGGTCCCCGCCCACCCTCAGGAACTGGGCAGAGTGTAGGTACACCAGGTAGTTGCAGTGATGTCGTGCGGCCGCCTGAAAAAAAAATTGTGTAGGAAGCAGAATTTTAATTAAAAACACCAACTTCAACGTGCAGCGGCGACATGAGCCCCATCGCTCACCATGATGGCGATATAGTGGCGGTACGGCAGCGGCAGGGGGCCGTCCATGTGCAGGATGTAGTGCTGCGTGTGCAGGAAGCTCTTCAGATACTGAGGGTGAGACGCCATCTGCTGAGACACGGCATCCACGCTGCCCCTACTGACCAGTTTCTTCATGACCAGCAACGAGACCCGCTCCTTCTCTCCGTTCACCATCACCTGCACACAGAAAGGCAGAGAAAAGGTTCGTGTCTGACAGGAAACATTCAAACAATGAGTTTTTTGATTCTGTAGTTAAGCCAAGGTCTTTCCCCCTTTTGTGTTTACTGTGAGGAAGTGATAACAATTGAAATAAGAGTTTATTACATTCGTTCAGTCTGCTGCTTTTATCTACGGTTTATTACAATAAATTCAGCATCTTTGGAGTCCTTTATTGAGATAACTGGTAAATATGTCGTCTCAAGCTGTGGGAGCCTTGAGATAAAACTTAATTAAGATCAAATTCCTTAATGTCCTGCGTCAGGGTTCCTATTTTAAAAAGCTTCCCATTAACATGAATAACAGCCACTACTTTTCAAATGAAATAAAACATGAGCAACACGGTCCTTAAGAGTATTTACGAGGTTTCAGTTTGTCCCAAAGCCTCTTGGCCCGGAGTTGGACATCAGAGTCCGCGCCATGTGACGACGGGGTCAGACTGCGCTTTGGACGGGAGTCATGTTCCACACCTTAAAACAGCCGAAGAGAGGCCGTTTTGGAAGAAGAGCGAATGCAGCGCTGCGACGCCGGCGCCACTGGCCAGTGAGTGCATTCCTGACTTTATTTGTTGCTCAAATAAAAATGGGCACAACACCGCCGTCTCCACAGACACCGATTCAGCCTGGTCTTATGAGACCACTTAATGTTTATCAAATGTAACCCAGACACTTCTGTTCATCTGAAATAAAAAAAAAAAGCAAACAAAAATATTGAATATACAGCTGAGCCTAAAAGGGAAATAAAGGGGGTAAAAGCTGTAATGGGAGGCTCAAACACTTTGAGGAAGCACAGATGAAGAAACTAATATGAAAGTTGAGCTTCAGAGGCCTTGAAAAAGGGAAGCTCGCCAGCACTGAAGAAACGGAGAAGGCCAAACATTCAAAAATGGGAGCGACTGGACGCAGGAGCCAAGAGAAACAGGCCGATGCAAAGAGGGAATCTGGCTCCACTATTGGTTAGATCGCTCGTCATCGTACGATGGCCGGTAGGAAAAGATGTCTGGCAGCTCGGCCATGGACTCGGTACGTGAAACCTGATCGCACAAGAGCTGATTAAAGCCTGAGGTTTACAAATACTGGCCAAGTATTAATAACTCAAACTGCTGTCTAGGACTATGATTACTATCCAGTAAGGCACATCATCAGCTCCTGAAAAACAGAACAAACTACAACTAACAAACCCCTGTGACTTAACTTTAACTTGCTGTGCTCACTACCATGTTTATCTAAATGGAAACTCCACATGGTGTTTCATTTCTCTGTGTAGTGTTGATACTTTCTGCCTGTTCAGATCCATATAT